AAACACATGCACACACACGGGATTTTTTTTTCAAGAAAAAGACCCTGGAACCATTCACAACTTTATGGAATATTGATATTGCAGAGCAAAGGTAAAAGTGCAGAAGACAGATTGTTATTCTTACTCTGAAAATAAAGATCTGATTCCGTGCTCTCTACGACGAGTGCACAATCTGATGTTTAAACAATAGATACCTTCAATCCTCCAGACAGAACGAAAAAAAAATAACTAGAAACAATACTGCAGCATATACCACAATAATATTTTAAAAAACAATACAACAACAAACAGAACAATAGCATCAACAATAATAACAACGGCAATAGCAACAACTACAACAAAAACAACAATAGAAAATGAGGCAAAAATACAAGCGAAAGACTCGATTTGTAAAATAATACGTAGAAAACGGCGATTAAAAAACCCCACTGCAGCTTATAAGTAAAGAAGAAGAAGAAAACAACAGAAATAGCCTTAACAATATGCATATTTTTTAAAAGTATTTTTTAAAAACAGAATAGCATATTAAAAAAGTAGAGAAAAATAGTAAAGATGAAAACGGAAATAAGCTTACAAATGTACATATAAAGGGCTACCTATGCACTTGTCCTTGACCTAGCAATCTTTTCCTCATATCACAGAGAAACCATTTGTAAATGTAATTATGCAGATTACCACTTCTTTCACGTTATACTTTCATAACATAATCACAACATCACCGCTATGAGAGAATCCATGAAATTATGTCTACCTTGGGGATAATCCAGTCACGAAAGTTAATCTCCATTGATTGCAATTGCTGGAAAAAAAAGTTGCACTGTTCTTGTCCGCAAATCGTTCTCTTATTCAATCTCTTCTAAAACGTTTTTAGTTAACATAATGAAATCGCAGCCGCTGTGAAAGGGTACAGATTCTATTCTACGTACCCGTGAGTGAACCTTTTCCCCCTGAATCTAACGTAATTTTAAAAAAGGCACAATATGCTTTCTCCTCACTCTTTTTTTTTAAATTGCTGGTTTTTAATTGATTTTTTAACTAAATTCAGGCTCCTTTCACTTTTTCGAACTTCTGTAGTTCTGGGTTTTTTTAATGAAAATAAAAACCCAACAACCAGCGGTGTGGGACAGGATCAAACTAGAAACTCCTTATCATCGCCTGGGTAAAAATATCTGAAATCAGTTGGTCGCACTCAGTACGGTACCCGTATTTTTTCTTCGCCCGTCGTCGCTCGCGCCGCGACGCGTCAGTGACCAGACTTGGTACCCGATCTACTTTTGTACGCTCTGCCTGAGGATTCGCTTGACGAACTTTGAACTGAGCGACTACACAAATAGGCGAAACTTACACGTGAAACGTATTTCTTTACATGTGAAGGTGTGTAAGTCTCACTTCTTTATCGAGACGTATTTCGATGTTGTTGGGATTTCTGTTATTTTCTTATAAAATTAATTTCGGTGTATTGAAC